AAACATCTTGGAAGGTGACCTTAGTTGGAGATAAGACAATAACACAGAGAGCTGACTTAACTTGAAGACAGGCTTATTAGTTCATGCCACAAAAAATATCATTCTATTAAAATGAATATTGAACAAATATGTTATAGCAATATCCTTGGCTGAAGTGGATTATGATCAGGTATGATGGTGGGGTTTGTTGTCTGCAGTGTTGAAGTTTTGGATTCTACACACAGAACAGATTATCCTTAGACTGGCTGGCTAAAAATTTGTCCTCTTACACCTGTCCAATGCCAGCTGCTGAACTCTCACTTTGTCACCTGACACTTGCTGGTATATTTCAGTGGTGCTGCATGTTTGGTCATTTAGTTGTCTGAGATGCATAAAAGTACAGTTGCCACTGTTGTGAAATAAAATGTTCAGAAATGAAGTTTAATATTGAACAAAAATTATTCATCTACAAAATCTCTGTACAACATTCTTCACGGAGGAAATTTCATAGGAAGTATCCTGACAGTACTGTGTCATGCAAAGCAATGATTTACAGCACTGAAACAAAATTACATTCCACAGAGTTGATGCTGAAAAAAGAGAATCTTGAAAGAGAGATGTAGTGACTGAAGAAAAACTTCATGGCACTGATGCTCATTCCATCTTTCGCTCCTCAGTGTGGATTAAAAGTAAAATTAGTGTTGGCACAAAGTTGATAAAGTTACGGCCTGTGAAACTTCTGCTTTTCCTCTAGAGCATCTATGAAGTGAGTCTAGACATGTTTTCATGATGTGGGGCATACTTGAAAGTGGAAAGTCATCACTGCAACTATTACATAAAATAAAGTCAGTCAAACTACAACAGAAAAGCTGGCCATGAATCATCACTACCAGGGCTGGTCTGTGCAAAACGAGGGCCATATCAGCTGCACAGATCAGTCTAAGGAAGATCTGTCCTCCCTGCATTATCATAAAATTACTTGTCCAGTTTGCTGGGTTGCCAGTGTTTGAACAAATGTCACTACAATGATTATTAAGCTATGATAGCACTTACCCTGCTGCCCATACTTAGATTTGGAATTAAGCATTCCAACAGATTTCTTGTTGCCTCCTTCACCAACAGCATTCTGTGAACCACTTTGCAGCGTTTTTGATGAAACTATATCTTCTGACTGCAACATTTCTTCATCAAGTTCTCCTGTCATTTGCTTATCACTATCCAAATCATCTAGGGAAACCCATTTTCGAGGAAGAGAGTTGCACCCAATTCCAGAACTACTGTGCTTCAGGTCAGTACCCACAGATTTCTGGGTCACAACAGAATTCTGAATTAATTTGCTGGCATTAATATTTCCATTGCCATTATGCTCCTCGCTGCCAGAAGAATGTTGCCTCTTTAAAATACCACTTCTATTGTTCCTTTTCCCATTATTACCTTTTGATGCAGAACCTTTAGATTTTACAACATTTGTGGACTCTGATTTATTTGTTGCATTTGAATTGTTAGAACTAGGTTTAACTGCTGGTAATGTTATAGGAGCTGACTTTGTAAGGACATCAGAGTAAGTTGGTCTCATAGGGCGAACTTCTGCAACTATCCTTGCCTTTCTAACAATATGACCAACCCCCTTACATTCCATTTCAGCATTAGAAGATACTGGAATTGTCTGGATTCCCAGCTGATTTGTTGATGGAGCTGGTCTAATAATATTATCCATACATCCAAATGGGCTATATGTGCCACTCTGATTTGGCACCCAATTACCAACAAGGTTTTCTATCAACTGTGCTCGATTACTTAAACTTCCTCGGAAATGCTGTTCCTGCTGTCTACCACAATGCTGAGATTGTTGTTGAATATCACCATTGTTGAAAAGTCCATAATCCCTCAAATGGGTACAGGAGGTGTCTAAATTCCCACTCTGATAAGATATAAATCTTCCTATTGGAAGCTTCATGGGTTCTCTGCTGTCATGGGGCATCATATGGTATGCCTGTGGTGATATCATATTAGAACCACTATACACAACATTAACAATGTTTCCTCCACCATCAACAACAGTTCCAATTACTTCATGATTCTCTGCCATTGCATTCATTTGCTGCTGCTGTGCAGATGCTGCATAGTAGAAACTGTGATCTTGAGGTACTTCACTGGCCTGTTTTGACAAATGGGATGTACTAACGTCACAACGAACTCCAGAAATATACATGGCATTTTCCCCTGGATTCATTGCCATTGATGTGTGGGGTGTATAAGGGTGATTATCACTACTTCCATTTGTAGAAGCTGCATACTCTGTCCAGCAGTGTGGGGCTGTAGCTGGTGTAGGTGGTGGTGTAAAGCCTAACGGTATATACTGGCCATCACTAGTTTGTATATCTGCAGTCATATGTTCAATAATTTCATCGATAGGACCTTTATTCTGATGGTTATCGCGGTCTCCCATCATAAAGCACGAGTCATTAAACTTCTGCTGTTGGTACGTGTAACAAAACTAACAAAATAACAAAGCTAATCCACTCAGTTAATCTTATTTGTTGCTGATATGCGTAAAAAAAGTACTTCCGAAAGATCATGCAACAACTGCTGTGTCTAGCACAGGTTACTTGCTGATCTTAGTTAGATTAATAAAACCCGAGGTTATCAACGAAACGTCAGTGTTCAAGGTTCTGCAAAGCAAAAATATGCCTCAATACTTTTAATATTGAAAATAAATCACAAAATAATTATGTATATAAATTTTCTGTATGAATCCACATTGTGACATGTCTCTCACTACACGCATTTCCAAGGAACACAGAACCATTTTGTTGCATAAATTCATGCCATACATCCGCCGGAATCAAATTTTAGAAATCAATATAATCTTTAAAAAATAGTTTTTACAAATTATTATTCACATTAAAAAATATCTTACATTAGCGAAAAACGAGTATTTTTCTCTTTCAGTAACACAACTGCACATCTAACACAAATCAACCTTTGGAGTTTGGCAGTAACTACTTCGTGATCCGTGGCAGCATTGAGAACAGCAAAGTTAAACGGCACGAAGTTGATGTGGATCATGTGGATGTCGCGTTCGGTTGCGATAGAGGCAATTTTTTATTTTTTGACAGGCAGTGAAAGGTTAGGAAAGCGATGAGAAGGTGTTCGTCATTGAATGGAAATAAAAAGGTGTTACGTTAATGTATATTTTCTGTTATTCTTAGCTTCTGCTAACATATCGTACTTTCTATTGTATTTTCGTACGTCATTGCAGAAATATATTGCTTGTTTATTCAACCCCAAGTCGTATTAAGAATCAACAAACTAGCTCGATTACAGAGTAGTTGAGGGAAGTGGAGGCCAGGGTTACAAAGATGCATTCCTCCTGAAAGCACGAAATTTAAATTTCACCCACGATATACAGTGATATGCTTTGTATTACGGTTTCGACTTTATATTCTTGACCGGTGTATTGCAAGCAGCAAGCCTTTTCAGGGGACTTTAAAATGTGTTCAATTAGTATGCGTGGTACTCCGGTTTTTGTATATGCCTGGACTGCAAGAAACTGGTAGTCTTTTCCAGGGACTTCTCAATAGAATTTCCATTTTCAGCACCATGGCCTTCCATTTATGGATGTCCCTCTGAAACTAGTTCTGCATGTAAATCCACCTTAACTACTCAAGATGTGCCCTGTATACTGAAGAGACTATATATATGACCTAAAATCACTGGGTAGGTAGGAATTGCAGATGAGTGGCTATACAAGGAAGAATCAGTAAATGGGTCACAAATGGATATAAAATGTAAAACCTGAAAAAAACATTTCTCAACATATCCTCCACCAACACTGATATGCTTGTCCCATCGCTTTACCAGTGCATCAAAACCTGCAGCATACAAGTCTTTCTACTGTCATCTCAGCCACTGCCACACCTGTTTCATCCTGTTCTGTCATCAGTGAAATGTTTGCCACCTTCAGACAGATGAAAGTCACAAGGGGACTCACGCACTCTAAGGGGATGTTCAAGAAGATCCCACTGTAGTTCTTGAATTCTCTATTGGGTTGCTTGTGCAGTAAGGGGTCTGGCATTGTCATGATGAAGCCCATCTTGCCAGTTGACCTGGACATTTTCTATGATTTGCATTCAAAGTGTGAACAGAACTTCACAGTACAATGTAGAATTCACATTTTCACCACATATCTGAAAATGGGCTAACAGTACTCTCTAAGAATCCCAAAACATGGTAAGCATATCCTTCCCAGCTGCTGGCATAGCTGTAACATTAAATTTTTTGATTGCATGTGAACTGGGATGCTTCGTTGCATCGAAGCATGCTTTGATTTGGGTTGGTAGTGATGCAACCATGATTCGTCTCCAGTAACAATCTTGTTAAGTATATCTTCTCCTTTGACTGCATACCATAAGAGATGTTGCAAAAACCCATTCGGTTAATTTTTTTCTTGATCCTTCAAGTCCTCTGGGCACCCATCATGCACACACTTTCCGAAACTTCAAACGATCATGCATTATGCTGTATGCTATATCAGGGGAACACCCTAGTGAAGTTTCTACATTGTCAATCATTATCCTCCTGTCAGTTTGAATCAACTCTTCCACCCACTGCACAGTTACTTCTGTTGTAATCTCAACAGGGTGACCTGATCAGGCATCATCTGTGACTTTCCAATGTCATTGGCAGAATTTCTTGACCCAGTTGTGAACTACTTTATGTAACAAACACTTTTTCAATTCAATTTATTTTTGTTCATCGGATCTACATTTGGAGATGGTGCTTCCAGATATAGAACACGTCAAAGCCCAAGTTACTATAAAATCAATCTAGAGGATGTCATAAAGATATTACAACTTATACAGGGTGTTTCACGACTTTAGGGCATAACTGCAGGAGGTGATTTCCTAGGTCGTTGTGATTAAAAAAGTTCATATAAACATGTGTCCGATTTTGGATGGTTACGGAGTTATAACCGTTTTTTCATTCCTGTACATGCCCTCGTATGAACCGCGTCTGTCAGCTGGCAGGTCGCTATTTTTAGCCAGCTACAGACAGAGCGTTCTCGTTATCTCGACACTTGAGAGCTACCTAAGGCGGGGGGTGGGTTGGTATGTCTGGCGTGGTTCACAACTGAGTGGCAGCCTGTGTTACGGCCGGCGGTGACATTTTCGAAAATCAGCTTTAAGCACCAATCAATTCAAATGAAAGGTAATTTCACGAAGTTAACTTTACATTCATACTTTAAATGTATCATGTATTATGCTGGTTTATTATTTTGTTCCGTTTCTTGTCAGTAATCGTTACCTTCTATTCTGAGTTTAAAACGGCCATAACTCCGTGACCGTCCAAAATCAGGAACATGTTTATATGAACTTTTTTTAATCACAAAGACCTAGGAAATCACCTCTTGCAGTTATGCCCTAAAGTCGTGAAACACCCTGTATAAACCCATTGTTGCAATAACTATTGATACAAGTAAATTTACTGTCATCGACAACACTATGCGCCACGGTGCCACACTGTAATACAAATCACATCAATATTCCCCCTTTTTTCCTTTTTACAATTCAAACCCAAAAGGACAATATTATAATACAACATGCATATAACACTTGCATTGCAACTTATTTTCATAATAAAATACATATTGTCTATAATAGAGAAAAAGCACATCTAGAGAATTATAGGGATCATACAATAAAAGTTTTTAAAAATGACTAGTGTTGTTTTATTTATCTGTAATTAGCACAATCATCCCTTGTTTTCCATTTATAATACTCTTCTAAAGAATAAAAAGAGCCCACCTGCAAACATTTTTTAAGGGAATATTTGAATTTATTTAAGCCTTGTGATAAATTGTGTGTATCGCTCAAATAAGTTTTAATTAACTTTCCTGCTATACCATTAAAACCACAGAACTCAAGCTTAGCAAGAAGTATTGTTTGATTTACACAATCAAATTCTTTGGTCAAGTCACAGAATAGGCCTTCCATAACAAGTTTTTTATTTGTTGCTGTTAGAATGGTATTAAGTCATAAATGGCTGATTCAGTGGACAATTCAGTTCAAAAAACCATGTTATTCATGTGCCAATATATTATTAATGTCCAGATGATTTTGTAATCTATTATATGATTCTTTCAAAAACCTTAGAAAAAGATGTCAATAAAGATATCAGCCTATAATTTGCTATATCAGTTCTATCACCTTTTTTAAAAATAGGATTTACTTGAGAATATTTTAATCTTGAGGGGAAGACACCAAGACTCAATACTTTATTACACACATATGTTAGTGGTGCTAATACTTCCCACTGTAAGGAAACCTTTCTTCATGAACATCCTTTCCATCGAGTCCTTTTGCCTACAAAAAACACTGCTCTTCAGCAGTACACACATCAAGTACGTTTGCCACTTTGACTACTGAAACCAGCTTCTGAACATGCAGATGCATTTCAGCTACCGTCATGAAGGTGGACTGTGCTGCTACATAGTGATGCACATAGAAACCCAACTGCAATGTATGAAATTATAAAAACACTTCAAAATTATAAATTTTCCTTTAAAAATGTTGCTGTAACAATTCAGATAACATATTGTAATAATATGATGAAATGTTGTTAAGAAAACAATTCAGATAGGCGCAAGTAGAGAAAAGAAAACCCCATAATGATTAAAACTTTTATTTTGTATTTTGTCCATCATCCGAGTTTATTAAAATCAGCACATTTCAGGAAGAGGTTCAATTTCAATCTTCAGGTGCAGAGGTTACAAAAGGATGCTTCTGCTGTTGTCTCCAGGTACAGCTACCCTCATAGTTTCATAGTATTGAACACAAAATAAAGGATGCAACAAAAAACTATATTTGGAGAATGAAAATTTTTATTGCATTTACTTCAAATTAATACATAGGATAATATACCATGCATGACTGTGATACTAACATCATCCCAAGCTATAACAGCTAGGAGAACAGAAGGTTTGCATAGTTAATGTTATCTATAATTTCTGGCATATCTCACAATATAAAAAAGCTCATTTAATATCATGAGTGTATGTGTACATGAGCTAAATATGATCAAGAAAATATTTGTGTGTTACAACAATACAAAATTATTTTTAAAATAGACTGAAGCTTAAATGTCATAAGAATCTTGATTCAGAATAATCAGGAAGTCTCAAATTTACAGTGTATGCAATTTTCAGTGTTAGTTGTGTTAATCTGTACTCTTAAATGTTCTAAAAACTGACCTCTAAGGCCCTAACATCTCAAACTGGCCATGAAGGTACATGATCCAACCACTCTTAAGTATACATATTCAATTTACATTCTGTCTTTTGTTTGTAACCATTTTCTTGCCAGTTGCTGAACTTATGTTTTAATATTTGGACTCATTAAATAAAAATGGCCACATTTATGGTTTAAAAACCAGTTAAATTTAGGGGGAGGCAGTAAGATTATTTGCATCAAAATATCTTTTTGTCAGTTCTGATAGTCAAAAGTCTAAACCTCATATAATGGCATTAAAGGCTGACTTAATTAAATGTCCAAGTGACTGCTGGCATGCCCCAACCAATTCTACATATTGCGGTAATGAATATTGGGTATTTTATAATTCTATGAGCTGAAGGGAATTTATCGAAAAAGTACCGAAAATTTCTCCAGTGATAGTACTGTTAACTGGCATGGTTTACCTTCACTCATTTTTCATCTCATTAAGGAAGCATTTTATCTTTTCATCAATTTTCCTACAAAATTTTGTTTTTAGACAAGTATCTTTTCCTCAGAAAACATGTACTATAGATATATGAAATATATATAATTGTTTGTAATGATACCGACTTTTATTTACACATCTGACATATGAAATCTTAATTATTTTAACTATTTTCTAATAAAAATGTCGAGAAGATTAGTTTTGTAAGAGAAGAGTTTATAAACAATATTGTGATGTATTTGCGCTATACAGGACACCCCCTCCCCTGCCAGCGGTGACGTAACATCATCTGAGTGCTGCCGCTGCTACGGTAACAGGCTAGTCAACACTTCGTCCCCCTCCCCCGCGGTGATGTAACAAGGGGACACCGCTGGTAACACGAGGCAACAGAGAATGGTATAAAAAGCCAGTTGAGCAGTATGTGAAGAGTGTGTGTGCTCAGGAGTGACACAGTGTGGATCATGAAGTCGCCAAGTGCAGTGGAAGTAATTGTGATACTGCCGATGGCAGTAACTGTGTAATTTTGAGAGCGAGTGTTCAATAAATTCGCTAGATCCAAGATGGCATAAAGGTATTTGTCATGTGACAATATGTTTACAAATATATTGCTATGAGAAAAAGTCATCAGATACAGAAAACCCATAAACAGTTTGTGTACAAAATTTGAAGTTTATAAATTTTATAAAAATGTATCCTCAGTACAACAAAATTAACAATGTGGAAATAGTGCTTACCACCTCCCCTTAAAAGATGGTTATATGTTCCTGTGGTTTACTCACTGGCCAATGACTTTCTTTTTGGTACCAATTTTTACTTTTCTTCTACAGAACCATAAATAAAAGCCACCCACTATTGTAATAATTAAACCTCTTTTTTCCTTCGCAATGGAATGTCACTCACAGAAATATCTTTCATTTTCTCACATCAGAAGACAATATCAAAGTTAGTGACTGGATTAACACAAATCTAAATTCCAAAGAAATTTTATAATGTCTGTAGTCTAGTCAATGAACAGAGTACAGGACACATTTTTAACACATCACAGTTACAACTGTTACTGGACTAAGATACATGAACCTAGTTATTTTGTCCTAGAGGTTTTGACCAATCCACACTCAAAATCAAATGATCATACCCATGACCATTAAGAGATGAAACGGCTTTAGCTGCATCTGATTTGAACTTAAAGTGAACATAAGCAAATCCCTTGCAGTGACCTGTAAGTTTATCCTTAGCTAGAAACAGCTTGTGGATTGGGCCAAAAGGTTTTACCAAATCTTCCAGATCAGCCTCTGTAGTGCTTTCTGAAAGATTGGAGACGCGTATTGCTATGGTATCATCTCTACTTCTTGTATTTGACATGCTGTCACCCCTTTTATTGCTACCATCACGAAGATTTGGAGGGACATATTTACTGTTCTGTGATTTGTTTTTATCATCTCCAGGTGCCATTCCAGGTCCAACACCTCCTGGTCCCACTGCAGACTCAGGTTTCTTTTCATCTGTTATTTTTCCACCTGCCAAAACCGTATCCTTGTAGGGACATTTTGTTGTCCAGTGATCTCCAAAGCACTTGCGGCATCTCACAGCTCCCCTTTCACCCATGGCCTTGAGTTTATCTAAAACATCTTCTTCAGGTTTATTATCTTCCTCCTTATTTGATATGAACTGCATGTAAACATCTTCAGCAACAATTGTAGTAGCTGGATTTGGGCCAGGTTTGTCATTCTTTGACTGCCCAAATTTATTCCAAGTCTTCCGTAAGGCAACAGTCTTTGATACAATCATGCGCTCTATCTTAAATGTCCTGACAACTTTGATCTTTTTATCATCATTATATTTATATTCTGTAATGATCTTCATGCCATTTTGAATTTCTTCTGTTGGTGGTGGTAAAGCACCTGCTGTTCCTTCTTCTTCAACTTCATCTGCCCAACTTGATTTCACTTCATCTGCTGCAAGCATTATTATCTATCTGTTCTGGAAAAAAAGAAAGAATTGACCTCATTAAAATACTTTATAACAACTAATTTATTATATACTAAATGTGGGGATTGGTTTTACAATAAAAAATTATTTGTGCGGTGAAAGTAGAAAAAGAAAGTTATACAAAATCTACCCAGTAAGTTTGGGATTCACATTTTGGGGAGCAAAGGAAAAGGTTAAAACATTCAATCCAATTTATTCCCATCAAAGCTGTCTCCCCCCATTATACAAATGATTACAGCAGTTGCTTCGTCTCATGACAGACTAACTTCTAGCTTGCCCAGTTCTTTTACATTATTGAATTTTGCAAAATATCCCCCTTAAAAGAAAACATATTTTGCATTAGCTAATTTATGTAATTTCAGGAGCGAAACAGTTGTTACTCAAATGAATAACAATTTTTATAACAATTACCACTGGAATTCAGTCCATTTTCTTAAATCACTCTACACAGATGGGCATTTGAACATTACTAGTAAAATCTTATATATACCGTAACTGTGAAGTATGCTTTCACAAACCTAAAAATTCAGTCATAATTAAGGGACAAACTGTACATAACATCTCAGATTAAGGAAAAAACCTGAATAAAGTCTCGAAAAACTCCTGAGGTAAGTACTTGACTCACTTCCAATTCACAATGATAAAGAACAAGGTACTGTATTAGCCCTGTTGTTTTCTAATTTTGTTCTAGAGCATGTCACTAACAAAATTCAAGAGCATGAATTACAAGTGTGAAATACATTATGTTCTGAAAATTTTCATGCATATTTTTACACCTGTGTACTACAAGTCACACACTTATAAGAAGAAAAACGTGTTAGAGAATCTTACCCACACAAGTGTGCCTATCACAGGTTATTCATACCTACTGAATCCCACACTGATAGATTATATTTTTGAAGATACTGACAAAATTACAGCAATAATCTATTTCCAAATATTGAAAATATAGATGCATGAAATTATCATGCAGGGATACTAAGCTGCTAACATATTTTAAAAGTACCAAATACCTATGCTACCTTTTAACAGCAAATAATACATCATCAAATTTCAAAAGTTTTCTGGACAGCAAAGTTATTGGAAAAGTGGACTGCAGGGAAGCCAAGGAAAATATGGGTTAACACAGTGGAAATGAAGTGTAGAAAGATTCTGAAAGTCAGAAACCAGAGAAGGCAGTAGTAATAGTAGTTCCAGCAGTAGTGGTGGTTGTAATAGCATAATAGAAGAAGGTTCAACAGCTGTCACCTTTGGCTTACATGCTTCAAACAACATGCACAAACTGACATATTGCAATGAAAGTCATGATAAAGTAATTTTGCAAACAACATGCACAAACTGACAATGCAGTAAAAGCCGTGATACAGTAATTAATGAATAGGAAATGGCAGCATCAATACCTAATTAGAAGCAAACTACAAACCATTTCAGCAACATAATAAAGAGATTGTTCAAGAGAAGAATAACCAGACCCCTTCTCACCTATGTGAACTGCTAGTAAATTTGTATTTTTCAAATTTTATGAACAACGTATAATTTGCCCCCCTCGTTGGTGTCTCCACCTTATCGTGGTGAGGGGGTTTGAGTATGACAAGGACCCTGAGAGCTATACCAGCAGTAGTGTAGCTACTGGCAGGGCCTCCCTTGCTGGACAGGTCAAAGGGTAGGCATCAGACGAAGAGAGACACCAAAAACTGATGCCGGAAGCAGCGTCATCAGTAGCGACTTGAAGCACAGAGCAAATGATGCTCGAGATGGTTCAAGTTCGTATAGCAACAGGCGTGACCAGAGTGGTTTGAACGGCTGTTTGTGGAAAGCAAATGGAGAAACTACCACATTATCACTTTTCCTGGATAGTCTCTTTCCAAAAACAGAGATATCATGTATGTGAGATGTTTCCTCTGGAGACAAAACAATCCGGAGGTAAACTACTCCCCCAATCGGATCTCCGGGGGGGGGGAGTGTTCCTAGAGGAAATGTCATGCAGGC